GCTCTCTATCCAAAATGGCCGCTCCCATTGTTGTGACAGCTGAGTATACAATTGAATATTCGTCTTCCTGGTGCTCTTGAATATTCGGGAATCTCTTCCAAATATATACACCAGGAAGCACTTCCCTTGTGGTACGTCAACATTATTAATGGTATGGAAAAACTGACTCATTTTGTTGAATCGGAGAATTACTCCGATTAATGTCCATTTTTCATGAAATAGAAAAATAATAGAATGATAATGTGGACAACAATTTACTGTTTCCGTTGAATCGATCTGGCGAGTCAGCAGGTATATTTAATTTTATTCAACTATTGCTTAATTTAACATTTAATATTTTTACAATTCTCTTGTTATTTTATTACTTTTGACAAACATACTGATTTTTATTTGTTTTTAGAAATGATGGTGATTCCCACCCTGGAATATTTATTTACTATTTATCTATAAAAAATTAAGGAATATTGTGACGAGCATAAAATGCCGCGTCACAACTCCCCCCTGCTAAGACTCGGCCTAAGGGGTCGAGTAGGCAAGTCCCGACTGTGGAATTTGCCACTCGCCAGATCGACAATTATTTAAGGTTTGCAAGAACTTACTTGCTCAAGAATTAAATTCCATTTTAATTTTTAATGCTATTTATAATTTAAATGTATCTAAAGTGAAAATGAATTGACTGAAATGAATAAACATACGGTAACATTATTTAATTGTTACAATTATAAGTTAGATGAACCACTGAAAATTTAAAGAATCAAACATTTAAACTCTTAGGAAAAGGTGGTATGGTTTAGGAACGTCAGTCGGTGAAAAATTACTATTAACACAATCGTAGACTGGCTGTTAAGGAAAATTTTCGATTTAGGTACCAATTAACTCTCAATTACTCAATATTCATGGTCCTGATCAATTCTACCCAGTTTCCAGAAAGGATCAAATTTAAACTTTAAGCTGCTGAAATTTTTCTCATTTATATGAATTAATAATTTTTAAAGGTCATGGACCACTAGAACTGTTAGGTCCAGACAGCATCTTTCCAGATGCTGACGGAAAGTAAATCATTAAACTAAATCAGGTCAATTCTGACTTATTTATCTTAATTCCTAAGGTTTTTAGATAATTAACGACTAAATTAAGATAAATATCGGTCTTTTAGTTAAAGATCAATACAGATTTGTTTATGAAATTATTTACAGAATCCTTTCCGAATTTTAAACCATGGACCGGTTTACCTAGCACAATTCAAGGTCAAAATTGAGATGAACTAAGAATTTGTCCTACAGATTAATAAAATCTTTATTTTACAGATTCCTTCTCTGGAAACTGACCATGAACCATTCGGGTATAACCTCATCTATTTATAATAATGTGATTACAATAAAAACTTTTCCGAATTAATACAGTATGATATTCGGTCATTTACTACTTTCCAACCATGATACTTTTGAGGTTCATTTTTAACGGCTTCGATTCGTCTATTATACCAATAATCTATTACGGGTTCAATCGCAGCTATTTTATTTTCCTCCGAATCTAAAGCCTGAACTTCTGACTCACCTATGATCAAATTTATATAAGGTCTCGATTTAGCATCCTTACCACTTAAATGACTAAGATTGTCTACTTCGACTAGCCTTGAATAAGTAGGTGTCGTAGCAGACAATTGAGATTCTGAAATTTTCTGATCTACTATAAGATCAGGAGATTTCGAAATTTTCCGATCTACTATAAGATCAGGAGATTCTGAAATTTTCCGATCTACTATAAGATCAGGAGATTCTGAAATTTTCTGATCTACTATAAGATCAGAAGATTCTGAAATTTTCTGACCTACTATAAGATCAGGAGATTCTGAAATTTTCTGATCTACTATAAGATCAGGAGATCCCGAAATTTTCTGATCTACTATAAGATCAGGAGATTCCGAAATTTTCTGATCTACTATAAGATCAGAAGATTCTGAAATTTTCTGATCTACTATAAGATCAGGAGATCCTGAAATTTTCTGATCTACTATAAGATCAGGAGATTCTGAGATTTTCTGATCTACTATAAGATCAGGAGATCCTGAAATTTTCTGATCTACTATAAGATCAGGAGATTCTGAAATTTTCTGATCTACTATAAGATCAGGAGATCCTGAAATTTTCTGATCTACTATAAGATCAGGAGATTCTGAAATTTTCTGATCTACTATAAGATCAGGAGATTCTGAAATTTTCTGATCTACTATAAGATCAGAAGATTCTGAAATTTTCTGATCTACTATAAGATCAGGAGATTCTGAAATTTTCTGATCTACTATAAGATCAGGAGATCCTGAAATTTTCTGATCTACTATAAGATCAGGAGATTCTGAAATTTTCTGATCTACTATAAGATCAGGAGATCCTGAAATTTTCTGATCTACTATAAGATCAGGAGATTCTGAAATTTTCTGATCTACTATAAGATCAGGAGATCCTGAAATTTTCTGATCTACTATAAGATCAGGAGATTCTGAAATTTTCTGATCTACTATAAATTCAGGAGATCCTGAAATTTTCTGATCTACTATAAGATCAGGAGATTCTGAAATTTTCTGATCTACTATAAGATCAGGAGATCCTGAAATTTTCTGACCTACTATAAGATCAGGAGATTCTGAAATTTTCTGATCTACTATAAGATCAGGAGATCCTGAAATTTTCTGATCTACTATAAGATCAGGAGATTCTGAAATTTTCTGATCTACTATAAGATCAGAAGATTCTGAAATTTTCTGATCTACTATAAGATCAGGAGATCCTGAAATTTTCTGATCTACTATAAGATCAGGAGATTCTGAAATTTTCTGATCTACTATAAGATCAGAAGATTCTGAAATTTTCTGATCTACTATAAGATCAGAAAATTCATTACTGATTTTAGGTGGAACTATATTTGCCAAATCGAACTGACTAGGATCATGGTGATCAGAAAAATTTTGAAATGACTGATTTATCTGAGGAGTTTCTTTCGAGTTATCTAAATAATATTCGGTAGAAGTTATTTTTGAAGTAAGGGTCTTTTTATATGAAGTCGGGAAATCAACGACCCTAGGGTTGACTTCCAACTCTAGTTTCCCTTACAGTAAATAAGTTGATCATCGCCCTTGATAAGTAAATTTTCCTGATACGAGGGTAATTTATAATCAAAATATGGCTTCTGAACAACCGATGATACTTTACACGATTTGGGTGTTTGGAATAACTCTGATACACCTTTTGGGTAACTACTTGGCTGACTAACCTGAGTTGGTTGCGAAAACGAGACTGAATTCGCTACCGTTACTCCTACTGCTGTAAGCAAGTAAGATGAGCAAGTAGTCGTGATTGATGGGATATCCGAATTTTGCGTACTATATACGGTTGTTGTGTGCGGTATTTTAATTTCCGATGAGACCGGAGTGAATACAATTTCACGCATTTTCTCTAAGGTATTATGAACAGAATCCGGAAGGGATTCTATTTCCGAATCTACTGGGCAAATTTGTATTTCATCCGAAAATGACCACCGAATCGTTTTATCCCCAGCGGAAAATTGCATAAAACGTAAGGCACGTCCACGTAAGGTTTCTAAACTCCCTTCTGAATTGACGTTAACTGAGTTTAAAAAAATTTTTAATTGGTCTCTAGACCAATTGTCAAAAATTGTTGGCTCGTCAATTATATGGTCCGCCATTTTAACAAAAGAATTTTTGTATATACTATGGGATTTATTATGGAGTCGGAAAAATTCGGTGAAAGAGCAGTCTCAGTCAACAACAAAAAAAATTAATATTTTGTGCAATCAATCCTCGACTACACAGTAACCGTATTGTATTAAACAAAATATAAAAAAAATATTGTTCTGTCATTTATAGTCAAAACAAAAAAAATGGATATAATTTTACTGTCCGCAGAAGGAATAAAGACAGGAATACATAGATTAAATTTTTAATTCAATATAGAAAATATTTTTCATACTTTTTATTTTAAATATATTATTTATTATTTATTAAGCAATAATAAAAAAAAAATATATATTGTAGCGATCGAGAACCGATTGCACAATTCAATCAATTCATTTCACTAGAAGGCGGCGATGACTCAGCCAAATCCTTCGTAATTTATTTAAATAAAATTAATTAATTTAATAATTGATTAATTTTATTTTTACCCGTAATATTTTTAAGAATTTGATTCTCGATCAGTGTATATTTGTCCTTGTTGTGAGAATTTGTACTATCAGTCACAGAATTGTGACCTTGATTATTATTTTCTATGTTTACCTTGATTCTTCAGTATAAGCTGAAATCTCAAATTTTTTTCTAAGATATTTGAGTTTATAAAACTCAAATATATTTATTTTACAAATTCTCACAAAATTATGGAACAGTTATAATTGAAATAATTTTTCACAAATGTTGTTGCTCCAAATTAAGTGAAGTAATGTGTCCTTATCGGGCCCCACGTTGGGCGCCATTTATAACGTGATTTTTGCTTGAATGATTATTTTTATATTATTTTTACTTTAATTTTACCAAAAACTATTAATTTTAAATTATATTTTCTCACGTTACTTTATTTTTAATTATTTATTATTTTTAAGACGCCAAGTTATTTTTATGGAAAATAACTAAACCATTCTATATTTATTTGAATATAATATAATATCCGCCTGCTGGCTCAGCACGTCATTCTTTTGTACCAATGACCCGCGGAGAGTGGGGGGAAAGGATAAAGACACAAGTAAACACTTCACTTAATTTGTTTATAATTATTTCTTTAATTCATTAATTTAATTAAATTAATTATTCGGCAGAAGGCCGAATAATTTTCACAATTAGTATTCGGCAGAAGGCCGAATAATTTTCACAAGTATAATGTTAGTACGCGAAAAAAACTTTTCCGTACAACGGAAGGTTATATTATAAATTTTAATTATTAATTTAATAATATGCCGATCTGGCTGACAAAATTATATTAGTCGGGACTCACCGTCTATACGACGTCTACCCCGTAGCGAACCTCGTCCTGACATAATTATTAAATGTCGAAAATATTATTTTTATTACAAAAAAAAGAAAAACTGGCTTGTCGCCTACTACACTTCCAGAATGAGAATGACTAAAAATGGCCGACCTGTCACGCTAGTCGGCGTCTCTTTGTGCGCTTTCTTTTTAGAGGTGAGTCCCGGTGAAAGTAATTAATTAGAACTTTCTTTATCGATAATCAATTTATCACGAGTCGATATTTTTCATGAATCCGGAGGGTAAAGTAGAACGCTACCGTGCCACGGCGCATCGTAGCGCTCTCTATCCAAAATGGCCGCTCCCATTGTTGTGACAGCTGAGTATACAAATGAATTTTCGTCTTCCTGGTGCTCTTCTTATTCGGGAATCTCTTCCAAATATATACACCAGGAAGCACTTCCCTTGTGGTACATCGAACATCATTAATAATATGGAAAAGCTGACTCATTTTGTTGAATCGGAGAATTACTCCGATTAATGTCCATTTTTTCATGAAATAGAAAAATAATAAAATGATAATGTGGACAACAATTTACTGTTTCCTTGAATCGATCTGGCGAGTCAGCAGGTATATTTAATTTTATTCAACTATTGCTTAATTTAACATTTAATATTTTTACAATTCTCTTGTTATTTTATTACTTTTGACAAACATACTGATTTTTATTTGTTTTTAGAAATGATGGTGATTCCCACCCTGGAATATTTATTTACTATTTATCTATAAAAAAATTAAGGAATATTGTGACGAGCATAAAATGCCGCGTCACAATATATATATATATTGTAACGCGGCATTTTGTCGCGTCCAAAACCTAAAAATAAATTATTAGAAACTTAGTAAATAAACGACATTAGAGTGGGAATCCTGCCGTAATGGCTGTAAAATGTTAAATTTGTATAAATTATTTTCTTATAATAATCACTGAATTTTCTTTAAATAAATAAATTATAATATCAATATACCAACTTGCCAAAGTCATCAGATTAATAGTCAATCTGTAATAAAATAAATATCGGTTCTTATTTGTCCTTTTGTTTTGTATAATAAAGTTTTGTTGACGATTTGTCAAAATGTCTCACATCAATTAATATTCAACATCGGATTCTTCAGGAATCTGCGTTACCGACAGCCATGTATGGATTATCGATTGCAGATATTGTATTGAATTAACGAATCTAAATGACAACGAGAATAGAGGCCGCTGATTAGCGACGCTTTCGAGTTTGACTCGTCGGCCATTTTACTCATTCTCATCCTGGTGTTCGTCGAGTTAGTGTCATTCTCTTTTGGTAAAATATTTTAAAATTTAAAGTGTAAAATTCAGTCTAGGCGATGATTGCTGTCGTCATCATCATTTAAATTCGAACGTTGAATACCAATTATTTAATTTTAGGGTCGTTTCCTTTCGATGATTAGAATATAATTTATAAATTAAAAAGATAAATCTTATCTTTCGATCTTCTGACAATTTCTTGACTTTTTCTAAATTTTCAAGTGAACATTAATAAAGAATATAATTGTTATTTTTGGATAATTAATTTTTTGTATGAAAAAATAAATCCGAAATTATTCCGAAATTGACATGACAAAAATCCGCAATTAGCCCGTAATAATTTGATTTTAGTTAGCGATCAAAAAATAATTTGAAATGAGTCCAGAATAATCTAGAATTTGTATGTAAACTATCCGCAAATAAAAAGCAACAATTCGAATTTAGCACAAAACAACAATAGTAAAATATACACAGCAATTTATCGAAATATTCTTTAATTACACAAACAAAAATCTTTAATTACATTTAATAATTATATTATGATGCAGTATGTATAATCACGAATTTTCTTCTTTAAAAAATTCTTCATTCATTATAAATTGTTAATGTAGTCATAACATCTTCGCTTGTGATAAAATCGGAATGTCCTTTATTATTAAGAGCAAGAATTTGAAATTTGTATTTATGTTTTCGATAAAGTCCAGTGACTGTATATTCTGGAAAATCTGAATCACTAACATAATAGTAAGGATTAGATGTTTCTCTACCGAGAAAATCTGTAAAAGCAGTAATTTGATATGACACGAAAGTTGTAGTGGTATTCTCAGGTTTTTGCCATTTTAAGTGGGCTGTTGTATCGCTCATGTTTGACACACTAAGTGGTCCTCTTGGTGAATTAGGTTTATCTGAAAATATTTAAAAGTAGTTACCAAAAGTATTGCACTGAAGTATGTTATAGTTGACAAAAAAAAAACTGGAACCTAAAATGAATTGAATTCAAACTCAATTTGAAGGGCAACACAAATGAGTCGATAAGATTGCTGATTGAAGTCATTTTGAGTTCAGATTTTATAAACCAAATTTTCTAATTTGCGCAACTAATACATTTTATTGGTATTTGTGTAATAAATCTGTTGGATTATTATCCTAATGAAAATAATAATTTTGTTTGTGGTTTAAACCATGTTTTTCATGGTTCAACTATATTTAGTTTGGGAGATATCAATAAACCAAATAATTCTCTATTTACTAGAAAATTGTAAATTGTTCGTAAAATCCGATGTTCTATTTACCTGATGGATTGTCAGTAGTGACTTCTATGTTCTGAATGTTTGCAGGATTCCAAGTGTTGGCATTCCAATATTTACTATAAACTATGAATTGATATGTATGTCCTGGAATGAGACCAGAGAGTCTACAATTATCAGCATTTGAGTAGTTTGGATTCTTCGTACATGACATAGGACTATCGCTAAATTGAGAAGTATTTTTGTCCACTGCCAGAATTAAGTACCATATATTAATGTCTCCAGCAGGTTTAGTTAACAGCAGATTAGCTGATCGATCAGTGATATCGAGTACTTTGAGTGATCCTGTGGATTTATCATCAGCGATGAGTGATACGCAACAAATAGATCGGTATAATTTTAACAGAAAATTTTTTTGTAACAATTATTATATTGTACAACTGGTTGTTGTATAAACTAACATTTTTGATTGAAATAGTTATACAAACTAACATTATTCATCGGTTGTAAAATATAATAATTGCTACGAAAAATTTTGTATCAAAATAATTCCAACTCCAATAACTAATATATATATATATATATATATAACAATAAATGTAAAATTCAAATTTGAATGTTAAGTTATTTCGTCATCAGGATTGTCACAAATCAGGAAAATATGTAAAAAAAACAATTAAACAATTAAACTCAGACAAATTTTCAAAATTTCAATTCAGATTTAGAACTAATTATAAAAAATAATTCAAGGCTGATTTATACACATTATTCGAATTCAAAATTTTGAAATATGTTTTAAACAATTAAATTTATCTTGAATTAACTTGAAGTATATATGAATTATCCTGAATTATCTGAATTATCATGAATTATTTTGAAGTATGAAGTAGGTTTACACCAAATTTTTTAGTTTTTTCCCCCTCGTAACTGTATTAGGAAGATTTTTATTTAAAATTTTTAGAAATAATTAAATTTCACAAGATTTTCAATTGAAACATTTATAAATTTGAATTAATGATTTTTTTTTATAAATTTGAAACAATAATTGAATTTTGATGGAGTTACAGTTAAGATTTTAAAAATAATTGCATTTTTTGAGATTTCAAAAATTATAATTTTGTTTTCAATAATAAATATTAATTAAAAAACGATTTAAATAATTGAATTTATGAAAAATTGGATTAAAACTGTTGAAATAATTTATTAAACAAAGAATTAAATAGATAAAAATTTGGGGAAAAAAATTTCATTTGAATTAACATTCAATTAATTATTATTTAATTACCAATTGAATTTGGAAGAGTTCGAGTTAAAATTTTTTTGGAAGTAATTAAATTTCAGAAGATTTTAAATTGGAACTTTCATCAATTTTAATTGATAAAATTTTTTTTACAAACCTTAAAGAATAATAGAATTTTAGAGTATTTTTAATTAAAAAAAATTTTTTATTTCCCTTAATTGTTAAAAAACTGTATTAACGAGATTAAAAAAATTAATTTGGCAAAGAATTTTAAATAAAATTTTTAGAAATAATTGAATTATAGAGAATTTTAGGGAATTTTCAATTGAAAAATGTATTAAAAAATTGAATCTTCGATTTTTCAAATTTTCAATTAAAATTTTAGTAAACTTGAATTATTGAAACTTCTTAAAATTTATATAAATAAAAATTTAATTTTAAAGAATTAATAATTAAAAAAGTTATTAGAAATTTTCATTTTGAATTGGTGAAATTTTTTTAAAAAATTTTAGAAAATAATGTGAATTTTCAATTGAAAATTGTTTTAAATCACGTAATTTTCGCAAATGTTTTAAAAAATTTTTGAAAGTAAATACAATAAAAAATTAAAAAGAAGAAGAAGAATTTTATTAGAATTTATATAATCTTAATAAAGAATAAATTATATATTTACCATCGGTGACAGCTAAAGATATAAATGTTGCAGTAAAAACGACAAACAGTATAATCTTCATTTCAATATAAGAACAATGAGTCAATTTTGTTTAGAAGTAATTTTTGAACCTTCAGTAATGTAGACCAAAGACTAAATTCTGTATATATATACTCGAAAAAAATATTAAAATTAGTTCACGTGATAATTGCGCAACAAGAAAATTTCTAATTTTATATTAAATGCTGAAGAGAATTGCAAATTTTATTTGATTATGCGGTGAAGGGAGAACTAAATAATATTTAAAAAATTAATAGATTACATTTTATAATAATTTTTTTGTATATATATTATTCATTTTTTAAAATTAATTTTGTATAAAATATAAATTTAAATAATGAAAATAAATATTGAATGTTTTATCATTATTATTGACATTTAACTGCGTTGTCAAATGATATTCAATTGCTAACTAAATATTGTAATACTATTTCAGGTGGTTTTTGTTTGTATTTTATTATTTTTATTTTTAAATTTTATATATACTTATGAACTATATAGATTATTTCGATATATGTAACTATCAATTCTATTGCGTAAATAAATTATTTATAATTAATATGTAATGTTCTCAACATATATTTATTACTAAATTCTAGAAAAAAAATAAAACATTGACGAAAGTTTTGTATTGATGTTGAATTAATTTTTAGACCAGTTTTTAGGTTTATTTGTATTTTGGCCCTGAACTTTAATTTGAGGTTTTTTTTTTATATTTATTCATATTTTAGCAATCACTCGTCCTCAATGACATTTTATTTAAAAGATTTTCAATTTAAGCTAATTTTAATTTTGTACAAATTTTTAATTTATAGAATTTTTTAAGGCCCTGAATATTTATTTATCCAAAATTACAAATGGATATTATATATAATATAATAATCAACAGATTTCGACGCAATTTTTAAAACTGACCAATTGCAAATTATCAAGAAAATCGTGATTGGTTTGATTATGTATTTTGTAAAATAATAATAATAATATTTGAATAAATTATCATTTTATTAAGCATATTCCGAATAATTTTTTGGACAACTTTGTTTATTTCCCAAAAAGATTTGAAATAAAAAAAAAAATATCAAAATATATTATAATTTTTATTTATATATAATAGTGTAAGTCCTATAATTAAATAAATAAAAATTCGTAAAATTCCAGTTTACATAGAAGATACTTTAATTTATTCATACAAGGTATAAAAACAATAATAACGCCTTAAATTATCTACACGAACATTTGTTCTTTTTATCAAAAATATCGTTTTAAAGTAACTATATAAGATTGTGATATATTTATTAGCTAATTTTCTTATTTACATGTGTATTATTTAATCTATAAAAATAGTATACTATTCCTTAAAAACTATTTATGAAAAGTAATAAACAAATCACTTATGAAGTAGAGGGCAACGAGGATTTTAAATTTCCTCTTTACTTTTCAAAACCATACCAATCCAATTTAAATTTACGTATAGCTATACTAGATTTAATACCACTATTGTTCATCCAATATTTTAGTTGCTGACAAATATACATTTTTTTCGCAAACAGCATTCATTATTTTAGTAGTTATGTAAATAATCACATACATATTAGGGAGGTCCTTGTTTTGTGAAAGTTTAAAATTTCTTAGGTTGTGGCTGACAATGAGTACTTTGAAAGGTGTAAAAATAATAAAAATTCCGAACTGTTTCCAAATTAAATTGGTATTAATCCGAAACAGTTCAGTTTATTGTCAGGATTTTGTCATCCGGAATTAGTCCGGCTAAATCCTAAATTTGCCCGATTTATGAAACTAGTGGGTCCGAAATTAATCAGATCTAATCCGCAGTCATATCAAACAAACTTCATTAGTGAATGCAGATTCTAGATTTACTGATTACACAGGCCGGATTAATTTCGGATTCAATAGAAGTAATTTTGTACTTATTAGTTGTGTATGATCCGATTAATTTTGAATTAGACCGTAATAATTCCGGATTATCTAATCACACAGATAATACTAATTTCAAACTTAACTGGACTTAATAACATTTTACTCAGATATACAATGTTTTGGATACAACTTAGAAAATAATTTTCACTTATAAAAAGAGGCATTGTAATTCCCTGCTTTATGTTTTTAGATTGTAATGACGCTTGGCAGTATTACACTGAAATCAGTTTTCTTAATGCCTTTCCTAGGTCTCCATTAAGATCTCAATAATTATAACGATAGCTTCGATGAACAGTACTCTACAGTTACCTAATTTTATGTTTGATCAAACTACTAAACCTAATAATCTTACGTTTCAACTTTTAAATATCGAAAGCGGAAATTATCACCAAATCATCACATCACCTTTACTGTTTCGAGATAAAGGATTAAGACACAATTTCTTAAGTACACTTACTGCTTCTTCTCCACCATTTTTTGCATAAAGTGTTGTTCTCTTAGCACTACGTCTTCCAAAAGATCCTCCAAATCTACAAATTACTGATTCTTTTTTACTATTATCTTTATATTCTTTTGGAATTTTTTTTGTTGAAAGTGTACCAACTCTGACGACTTTAAATGATGAACGTTTACGATTCTGACTAGCAGAAGAAAATGGTCTATTTGTTTCTTTAATCATTATCCATTCAGACTTAAAATCCGCCTCGCTTGAATTATGATGCGTCTGTGAATTACGTGAAGCATTTTTCATTGATTGCGATTGATTGGAACTTTTGTAAGGTATATTATTTCGTAAAACAGGTTTTCTCAATGACCTTGACAACTTATGACTCTGCCAGTGAGCAAAAACTGGAAGACCACAAGCATTATGCATTCCCACCAGAGGTACTCCTAACGTTTTAAATCTTGGAATTTCAGTCATTCCTAATCTATTATCAACTCTTAATTCTGGTTGAGTACGGCAAATATTTCCTTTGGACAAACTGAGTTTTTTAATTGTATTTCTGTTATCATTATAATCTTTATGAAATCTACTACATGTGTTTTGGTTTCTTAAACGTTGAATGTCAGAGAGTCGTCGAAGGTCTTTGTTGTCTTGGTTAACAACATTGCAACACTCAAGACTATCAACACTCCCATCCTGATCCACTGATTCTGATGGTGTTTTAGTGTCTTTAATTATTTTATTCTCTTTCCTTAAAACCTTCTTATTTATTAAAGGAACTCCCTCTGAATTTCCCTTATCCACTGTAGATCGGGAATTTATTATTGACCTTTGAGTATCGTAATGGAAATTTCGTTTATTAGATCCGATTAGATGCTTTGAAGGGATTTTTTTAATAGAACTTTGTTTATTGGAAGCCCTACGCTTTTTAAGAGAACTATTCCTGGAAGATTCAGTTTTTAATGATTTTCGTTTAGTGCTTTGAGTAGAAGATTTAGATCTCGGAAAAGGTGACTTTCGGTGACTTGAGGTTTTTTTTAACGAATAAGATGAACCTGTATTTACAGGAAATACATCGATTGCTCTCTCCTCGTAATGTTGATCACTTGGAATAACATAACTGATTCCATTGTTAGAATTCTGCCACTCTTCGATTACACTTCGCCCATTACAATTGTAAGGTTTATTTTCGATTCTTTTAATTCCTGCAACAGATATAGTAGGTACCTCGCTGCCCTCAAGCCGTCTTCATGATTTAGCACCAAACGTAGTTCCAGCCATGTGCATTCGATTTTCAATTCCCATACCAAATTCATGTTCACTTTCACTGAATGGACTTAGTGCTTGAGTCGATGTGAATGCAGATGTATGATTTGTTTTTGTCTTCTTTGTTCTCAAGCACGCAAATAGAGTACTGGAAAGAGCACAAATTTCAATAAACACTAAGCCTAATACAATTGTAATTAAAATTAATTCTTGTTCGTCTGTCCATTTTTCAATCTTCTCCAAACAACCCTGTAAATAAAAAATAAAATTTTATTGACTTAACGTATAAAATATAAATAAAAATAAATATTTAAAGGTTTAGATTAAATATTTTATTCAGTATTTATTTGTCTAATACTTACAGTAACATGCCTGGCTTGTAAATGTTCTACTGGATTTAGTGCTTGGCAAAGTGTGAGATTAGTTGGCTCCGGGTTTAAAAAAGCATCAATATCTGTAACGTTATTAAGAGTGCAGCAGGTGAGAGGAACAACCAATTCTCTTCGGCCAACTTCTTGAAGTCGCCACCAGGATGTTCCGTAGTTGCTACTACCATTTATTCCACAACATGAAAACTAAACAAAGAAAAATATTGAGATAATGTTACATTGTAATGAATCTTTATAATATTATCAAAAATTTTAAATATCAAATAAAATTTGGTATACAATAATCTATAAGTTATAAATCGACACAATAAAAACACGAATAATTTTAAATTAAATTTAGATCTTTAATTATAATCAGTTCACCTGCTTCCTCATGCATATAAAAATTAAATTACAAAAATAATCCCGACAAGTCACCGATATTCTATACTATCGCCTACCTATAGTCCTCGATACAGGTTGATGTTCTTCCTCTTTTTAAGCATAGACAGAAATTAGGGATTGCTTTCTGGCAATATCAATGGTAATCGAGACGAAGAATATCTTCCGGTATCACGCTAATATTTATTACCCTAAACAAAATTTTTCATTCGGCACACAGGTTTGCATACGTCTACTCACATTCATTATACAATATTGTGAAATACTTTTAATACTGATGATCATATGCGGAGATGATGCGAGTCGATTCCTTTGAAATCCTTTAACAAGTTGATTTGATAACCCACTTCCTTCAATAAAATGCGGTTATGTAATATGAGGCGTCCCTCGAAAAACCTACGTGGCTGGTCGGAGATTGAGCACCAAATTATAAAATCTTTGGTCCCAGGTGATCTTTGATGACTAGATTATTTAGTTAAGTTATTAATCACAAACTACACAATAGATTACAGTTGGAACACGTTGATCCACGATTAAAGCGTATGAGAAAAATGGCCGTGGCCTGATAATATTCAATGAAGATCCACTGCGGGTAGAAATTGCAAATTAAAATTTCGTATATACGATATAAAAGTGTTAATGGTTTAAGACAAAATTTAGAAGTGTTGTATCACATCATTTACTCGAGGATTCCCCCTCTTTCTTGTCAACTTATGATTAGGTCCTCTGCCTAATTGGTCACCCCACTTCAGGAAAACTCCTCAATGTTCAGCGACCATGGTCATGACAACATCAAGCGGTGGCGGTGTAAAAATTATGGATATCGCATCTTTTATTGCAACTTCGTCATGGAGGCGAAGAAAAGAAATAAAATTTGGCAGTTCAGAGAGGACTGACGGCCAGGCGAAGAAGGAGCAAGAGGAGGAGATTGCAAAGGTGACGGTAGCACCGACTTCTAAGCAAACTGTAAGAAGAAAACGATGAGTGAATCTACAATGATGATCCGAGTCGCAACAGGAACAACGTATGCCGACGTATTGAGCAAACTTTAGACGGAAGTGAATCCGGACGTCAGCCACACGTAGGTCGTTTGTGCAAGGCCTACAAGAAAGGGAGATCTCCTGATCAAAATCGGAGGAGACTCTAATAAGGAGGCATTCACCGCCGAGGTCAACAAAGCGGTTGGAAGCATGGGGAAGGTGCAGATCGTGGATCGACAAGTCACACTGAAGGTCCTCGACCTGGATTATCTTACTCAGGAAGAAGAGGACCAAAAGGCGTTGGAAGAAGTGTTCCAAAAGCCAGGAAGCAGGAAAGTAACGGTCCTAGGACCCAAACGACGAGGAATGAATTTGTAGTTGCCGACCCAGAGGAAGCGGACAGGCTGGAGAAATTGGGAATGTTTAAGACAGTGGACAGATTGATTACATGCTTCAAAGGTGAAGAAGTCGATCATAAGTTTGCAAACTGCAGTAGAAGTCCAAGCTGCTTTTTATTTAGTCACCGCTTTCCTGCTCAAATTTATTAATACCAGACAAAAATCTTAGCATTCATTTTTATTCTTACTCTTCAATTTTCTTAATGATTTGAAGCAACCTTATTAAGAAATTATTATGTCATCAACGTAGTACTATTGAGTTCAGGAGGACTCCAATAACGAGCTCCAGGACAAACGTGATAAGTATCAATGAATTACAAATCACTAAATAATCTATATTAATATTTTGTCATTCCATAATTAAAATTTATTCTTTTGTTATATTGTTTTTAATTTTATAAACATAAAACGTGTAATTAAAATTTGTTTATTTAATCAAACTTTATTTAATAATTAATGACAATACATACCACAGATTGTGCTAAATCAAGGGCAGCTGTAAATTGTTCACGTCCAGGAACAGCGTAGTTACGTTGAAGAGCTCGTACCAAGCGTGATGGTTGTAAATTAATTCCCAAAAATTGTGGGAAAAACACGGCTACAGCACATGTTGATATCTCCACCATCATAAGCAAGATAATCATTATGATATACTGAAAAAAATTAAATAATATTTAACCCTAGATTAAATGTCGATAACGAAAGATCAAGCATATAAAATTTAAGAAATTAATTCTTATCCTGGAGAATTATCTTAGTAATTAAAATGCAGTTTTCAATTGTAAAGTGGTCGAACTTAAAAATTTTTGTAAAAAAATAGAATATTAATTAAATTGTTTACCGTTGTTGTTATACAACAATTGTGTTGACAAGTGGCCCAGCAACCTAAGAAACCGGTGACTGAAATAATAAACCCCACTCCCACAATGACGAAAGCAAAATAGTAAAACATTGGTTGATCATGGTAAATTTCTTCCGATCCCAACAGTCGTGAAAGCAAAACGCGATGACTGTCTGCCAATAGTAACGCTCCACATGACATCAGCAAAAATCCAGACATCTGAAAGCGAAACAAAGTTATTTCCTCTTGATAATAATTTTAAAAAAATTTCACAAACTTTTAACATTATTTGTATTGAAAAAATTATTTAGTTTTATTTTATTTATGCTTATTAGACGTGTGTAGTATTGTATTACTACAGCCTGTAGTAATACTTGAATTTATTATCATAATTTAAACTGACTTAAAAAAAAAATATTATCATGTAGAACTAACGAGAAAGTTGTGACTACTTTTCACTAGCCCAGAACATTTGAGAATTTTCCAGAACATTTCTACCCAGAAACAGGTCGATTCTAAATCCAAAAAATGTGAACACTTTTTTTTTAAAATTGAATAAAAATACAACAACTAAACTAAATATAATTTTAACCCTAGGAAGCACACTGGTGTGCTAAAAAGACAACCCTAGAGAAATTTCTAACTACGCCCCTGGCTCTGTCAGCTGAACTGTCATGGCATCATTCTATCCATAATTCGAAGTTGTCATTCGTCAAACGATTTTGATTTTACTTCACGTCAAAAGGCATATATAGACAGTTCACAGTGGAAAAGTTTTGTCAAATGCAGTGATATATTAGTAAGTAAATATTAATTATTATTCAAAAATGTTGAATGAAGAACTAGTGCAGCTTCTCCGAAAATGAGGAATATATAAAAGCTTCAAATATTAGAATAACGAATTCAGTTTTGCATACTTAACCTAAAAATGAAAATTTAATATTTGATTATTATTAGAACAAAATTTTTATATAAAATAAAAGAAAATATTTAAAAATAAATTTCATTTTATAATTATGTAATTTTTCTTAATAGAAGAAAAATTTTTAAAAATAAGGACCATGTGCCTTTTGTTTGAGGAGAGTGTGAAAAATTTATTTCCCAAGGAGAGATTGAGGTTGAAATTATTGGGATAACTTGAAAAACTTCATAGACACGGGATTTTTTGTTTCGTAAATTTTTGTTCATTTAAATAAAATAAAATTTTAATAACAATATTTATCGAATATATTTAACTTTACTGCATTTCATAAAATTTTTTTTTTTTCATAAATATTGTAATTTTTCATGCTGTTTTAAAATAGTAATAATTTTTTTCGGAATTAACATTTTTATATATTTTTTTTTTAAATAAATAAAATCAAAATTCTTCCGAGAAAAAAAATCCCGAAAATAAGTAACCAAATAATAAAATTACGTTTTCATTATAAATATTTACACTTCTCAGTCATGTAGTTTATCAAATATATATTATTTATCACAAAAATATAATTTGTTAAATTATAAAAATATTACTGGGAAAAGTTGAAATAAATATTTTTAAAATTTTAATAAACATTTCAACCCTCATAACAAAAGGATATCCATAGGATATCCATATCAATGGTCGATATCCTAGAATGGTCCCCAGGATATCTTGGGATATCCATGGGATATCCCTAGGATATCCAAACCGCCGGTCTGTGGGACATCAACAGGACATCCATAGGATATCCACAGGATATCCCTAAGACATCCACAAAATATCTATTGGATATTATATCGCAAGATATCCATGGGATATCCTCAGGATGTCCGTGGGATATTCTTAGGATATTCATGGGATATTTAATATCTCAACATATATTTTTAAAGGTTAAAATTGTTAAGCTAATATAATGAATATCCTGACGATATCTATGGGATATCCTGATGATATCTGTGGGATATCCTGACGATATCTATGGGATATCTGGAGGACATTTATAAAAGTCTATAGAGATATCCAGAAGATATCCTGTGGATATCTTCAGATATCCATGGGAAATCCAAACCGCCGATTTTTTGGATACCCTTAAGAGATCCTTTTGATATCCATAAGGACATTCCTAGGATATTTTCGAAATATTATCAATATATCCCAAGATATCTTGTGTTATTAGGGAAGTTTCGTAAAAATTAAAATAAATAATAGCAAGTAAAATATCTGAAATAGCTATAAGGGTTAGCTATATCAGCTAACTTTTTTTCTCCGTGTATGTAAGGTTTAAAATAATTTCCAATTTATTTTAAAAACAGTTGAATATTTCCAAATAGCAAATAGTAATTTTTTTTTTTTTTTAAACCACAGTAATTGGTCAATCACAGTAATATCTATATTTAATTGTTTTAAACTCTATCTATAATCTACACACGTCAATATATTTTCATAAGACGAAACAAGGCAATAAATTACGCATCAGAAACCGTAACCACATGATTCGTTCTTACCTTGTTACTAACAATTCTTAAATAATTACTGACATTAAATCCATTATTTTTATGGAAACTATTTTTATTATTTGGGTCAAACCAAAACTAAAAAAAAATCAAAATTGTCAAACTTGGAGAATTGGCAAAGGAATACATGTAATTAAAGTCTTAAAAGCGATTTTCAAAAGTTTCAAATTCGATTTACTTCCAAAAATTTTTTTTCTGAGATTTTAAAAATATATCTGATAAAAATAATTAAAATTAAATTATTTTTTCATGGATCGTTTATTATTTGCCAACAATTTAAAATATTATTTGACCAACGAAAAGAAATTATTTTTCAAAGAAAAATGTTGAAAAATAATTTTTAACCCTAGACAGTATAACAAAAGGACCCCAAAGAAAATTCAAACTACGGCCCTGGCTCTTTAGGCTTAAATGTCTTAACTTGTAAAAATAATTATGATTTTTTTCAAATTTAAAAAAAAACGCTTATTAGGCCTTCAAGTACATCTATTCAGCTTTACAAATTCACAGGAATTCTTTAAAAATTTTTATTTGTTTAAAAAACACACTATTTTTGATAGAAAAAAATTGCTTTTTTGGGTTTTTGTATTTTTATTGAATATATTTTTGATTGTATTAGAAAACAAAAAACGCTATCTTCTTCCTAATGAGAAAATAAAGAAAATTACTTATAATAAAGTTATTGTGCATTAAATTTAAACATTCTATCAACAAAAGAAATTTTGGGGTATTTTTCTACCCCAATTTTTTATTGATCAAATAATGTTCTAAATTATTAGCTAATAATAAAAAAAATTATTAAAATTAATTTATTTTTATCAGAAATGTAGCGTTATTAAAATTTTAAAAAAAATGATCTTTGTAAACTCAACAATTTTAGTCTTTGAAAGTTGCTTTCGAATCTTTTATTTATTTGGATGTATTTTTATATCATTTTTTCATGTTTCATTGAAATTAAAAAAAAATGGGGGATAACTTTGATTTTCGTCCTTGTTTGAACTATCTATAAATTTTGAGTTATTTATTGTATAAAAAAATAAAATTTAATTAATAAATTTCTTCTTTTGTTAATATTGTAATATAAAGATAAAAGCCCGCTTGCAGTCTCATTAATATTAAATTTTTCAGATAAACCTAGTAATATAAAAATAAGTAATTAAATAAAAACAGCATTTTACACAATTTACTGCTACTACTACATATATTAATTTATTTTTTTGATAACCCAGTAATAAAAGAATATAATAAACTGCATTCTTCTTATTTTTTTTAAATTCCTAATCATTTTAAATTATTTTTCTTTTGAATATTTATAACTTATTATTATTAATTTTAATTGTTAATTATTTATACAATTATTAATATTATTTACAATTATTATTATTTTTATTATTATTATTATTTACAATTTTTAATAAAAAACGGTTTTAACAAAAAAAAAAATTACAATTTATATTTTTCTATAGAATTTATGTTTATGTATTTCAATTTAATTCTTGTGATTTATACAATTCGTTTGTATTAAGTGAAATTTTTTTAAAATATACAAAAATTTTTATATACCTACCAAAAATAAAATATTAGAACAACAAATTAATGCTTTCGGCAAACCCAAACGTTTTTCTTCCATTGTTGAAAATTAATTTCTGATGGAATGTAATCAAATAATTACATTTTTAAACACTAAACAATATATTTCACCTAACTTATCACACTATCATAATAATATTTTTAATTTTCAATTAAAAAGTAACTAATTTCTTTTGTTATAAACTTCAAAAAAAAAAATTTTTTTTCTTTAATTTTTTAAAATTATTATTTCTTTTTTAATAGAAAACATTTTTTTTTTTTTACAAAAAAAAATCTTATAACACTTTTGAACTTGCTTATTCGCGGTTGTTTCACAACTATACTGGAAAACAGTAGTGAAAGAATGCTGACAATGCCGTACCATGTATTCGTTAGCATTGAGTTCTTCATGCGCGACGCATCGAACGGAAACGGAAGGAAATAGAGAGAGGTGCGGAAGAAAGGAGGGAGAGTTTTATAGAAAAAAAAAAGTTAGTTATTTTACAGGTACCGCCTCGTGTTGTCCTATTTAATGTACATTAAGGCATCATGCATTGATATATACAAATTAAAAAAAGGGAAAAAAAAAAAAAAAAAAATTGGTCAGTAGGAGTGTCAATTTGACCCTAAAATAACACTCAAAATCTCAATTATATAAATATAAAGTAGTAAGGCAGACGCGTTCGTTTTAGAACGCGAAAAAAAAGAAACTTACTAATTTTTTTTTCCTATTTAATTTTTATTGTAAATTTAAAAAAATATTTAAAATTTAAAAATATAATACTTTTCTCTAAAAGGAGCAATTTTTGTTTTGTTTTTAGATTATTATTTATTGTTTCCAGTGGGCGCCAAAGTCAAGAGTATAAAATTGTAATTTTCCCTGACTATCTAAAATCAAAAAATCGAAGTGTATTTATTAGTTATATTTTATTATTATTATTATTATTATTATTATTATTATTATTTTTATTATTATTATCATACCAGTGGACGCTAATTACAAGCCTGATGTCAAATTTCCAATATTTTTAAAATTCAAAATGGTGAATCCAATATGGCGGAAGAAAAAATAAAAAATTTAACGGATTTATATGAAATTTGTTACTAAGGTGTTTTCGTAGTCGCTGATTAAGAATATGATGTCAGTTAAAAAAAAATTTTAATTTAAAATGTCCGATTAAATATGGTGGCAAATTTTTTTAAAATAATCCGCCATGTTGGATCCGTCATTTAAAATTTTGAAAATCTGACATCATATTCGTTTATGAGCAACCACAAATAACCCCCGAGTAATAAGTTTCAAGCAAAACTGACCATTTAAAAAAAAAAAATTTCCGCCATATTGGATCCGCCATTTTGAATTTATAAAAACCGAAAAAATTTACAAATTTTACACTGCGTGTTTGACGCCCTTTGGAAATAATAAATAATAATTTAAAAACTAAACAACAATTTCTCATTATATCAATTTTTTTTTTAATTTAGAATAAAAATGAGTGAGAAAAAAAGGAATAAATTATCTATTTTTACGTTCTAAAACGGGAAACTAACCTCAATTTGTTATCCAGACACGTAACATTAAGGGGTATACTGAAGTATTTATCTTCTTCCAATATTTATTATTTATAATATAAATTTTTTGGTTTTTTAAATTTTGTAAATATTATTTTCTTTATCGTCTTTTAAATTTTATATTATATATTATGAAGTCTTAAAAAAAAGTGTCAAGTTTATTACTTCTTTTAAAGAAAGGTCAGCGGTGACACTTTTTTTTTTTTGCTTTGCACCTACTTCATAAAATGTCTAGTGATGACAACTAGGTTGTGACATCCAAAATTTAAAAAAAAAATCCATTCCTATATAATTTAAACAAAAGGAAATAAAAAAAAAAATACTCGGCAGTAAGTTTTGTCGTGCATGTCTTTAAATTTTCATGGGTTTTTGACGGTTACTTCTAATGTAATAGTAAAATTATCACGTGCTACGACATCCGATTTAATAAAAGTGTTCTTCTTTTTTATTTATCTATTTTATTTTATAATTTTAATTAAAAAATTTTTTTTTCATTTTTTACTCCTATTTATAAACTGAAAATAATGTTTTTTGGAAAATCGATTATATATTAATATTTGAAGTATATATAGTAAAATTTCTTTTCTATATATATATATATTTATTTATTTGAGATAATTTGACGGTTTAATCAGTTTAACATGATACAAGAACACTCCATGGGGTTATGTATAGTATTGGTAAGTGTTCACTGAGCCTATCTCCTCTAGTTTGCATTAATTCAACGCACCTGCTACGCCCGCACCGTTCGTCGTCCGTAAAATAGGGCAAGCCTACACCGTGTATATATATATATACACGTTCCTATTAATTATATTCCCTAATGTGGAATATAATACATTTCTGAAATTTAAATTTTAACATGCAACACGTTCAAAATAAGTTTTTAAAATATCCGAAGAAACTATGTTTAATGTTATATTATTTCTTTGTAAATTTGAATTAGAAATAATTTTATCTAAATTCAATATATCAATGAATTACAGTAATTTATTGGTCCGTATGATTATGTTTTAAATGTCCGAACAAACAAACAATCGACCATAAAATTTCGGCGCGATTTTTTTTTTTGGCCATTTACAATTTCGGACAAATGAAAATTCATCTGAAAGAATAAAATGAAAATTCTATGCAATGAAATTCTACTCAATAAAAATTCTTTAAAATGCCTATTATGTTAAATGAAAGTTTGATCAAATAAAAATTCGAACAAATAAAAATTCGACTTAAAAATAATTATGACAAATGAAATACCATAAAATGAAAAATCTAACTAAAGATTTTTAGAACATAATCATGCGTTCCAATTTATTGTGCATTAATTGTATTGGTAAAACAATTATTATAAATTTCAGAATAATATGATATTTATATCAGATGTGCATAAAAAGTCTTATTTTTGAGGTATAGAAAACTTGCCAAAAAAGGCATTTTATAGCAGACGATGTTATAAATACTGCCGAACATGCGCAAACCACTTTTTATACTTTTCTAAAACGCTAGTTATTTCACATCTTACTTTTTCAACACACTAGTTTCTTTTTAACCCTTTGTGTTACGTTTTCTGTAAAAGCTTCTTATTTTATAAAAAATGGTCCTATTTAAAATGGCGGATAAATAAATAAAAAAATTGTTTGGATTTGCTTAAAACTTGTTACTCGGAGGCTTTTGGTGTCGCTGATTACGAATCTAAAGTCAGATTTCAAAAATTTTAATTTTAATAATCAATTTCGCTATCTTGGATCCATCAATATGAATTTTGAAATTTTTTTAAATCTAATTTCAGATTCGTAATCAGCGACGCCACAAACTATCCAATAAAAAGTTTCACGCAAATCCGAATGATATTTTTAGTTTTTCCGTCATAGTAGATCCGTCATTTTGAATTTATGTTTATGTTATGTTATGTTTATGTTATGTTTATGTTATGTTTATGTTATGTTTATGTTATGTTTATGTTATGTTTATGTTATGTTTATGTTATGTTTATGTTATGTTTATGTTATGTTTATGTTATGTTTATGTTATGTTTATGTTATGTTTATGTTATGTTTATGTTATGTTTATGTTATGTTTATGTTATGTTTATGTTATGTTTATGTTATGTTTATGTTATGTTTATGTTATGTTTATGTTATGTTTATGTTATGTTTATGTTATGTTTATGTTATGTTTATGTTATGTTTATGTTATGTTTATGTTATGTTTATGTTATGTTTATGTTATGTTTATGTTATGTTTATGTTTCAAAAATTTATGAAACTAATCCAATAAGAATCTATACAATTTTCAAATTTTTTTTTATTATTATGAATGAATAAATTTTAAAAAGCATTAATGTGAAACAATTTTGCTCCTAATACCATGTAATATGCATTATTCATATAAAAAGTATTAAATATGGGATTATACTCCATATGGTCAAACGGAAAAAAACCATTGAGCGTTCACACTTTATGATTAATTAACGGATTTCTAACTTTTCTGGAATAATTCCTTTTGTACATTATAAATTAACTATAATTTCAATTATTATAGAATTTATAATAATTGAAAGTATATTTAATATTTTTCACAGTTTGTGATTGTCAGGTGACGTCATTGCTACAATGTTAATTTTGTCGGGAATTTTTTTTTATATGCGAAAATTGTAATATTTTGTTTTATATATAAAAATTAATATATAGAAAATGTGAGGTTAGGTGTATGCCGTCGTAATTTAAACAATTGTGCGTCTTTTACCCAAAAAAGTTAAATTTATATTTCAATTTCAATTTTTTTTTTAGTTAAAAATAATTATTTCAAAATTATATTTTACCGAAAGGGCATAAAAAACTATTGAAAATAATATTCATTAATTTTATTTTATTTTATTATTTAGAAAAACAAAACTATTGAAATAAATGGTAATCTTAAACTTTCCCCCAGTAAATATATATTGATCTACTCTCTATAATTCTGAATTAGTAGAAATGTTTACTAATTTGAATTTGAATTAGTGACTCACTTCTTGCTTCTGAATTAGTAAAATTTTACTAATTATCAGTAACTTTTACTAAAATAAAATTTACTAATTCTAAAGCAAAAAGTGAGCCACTAATTTAAATTAGTAAACATTTTTACTAATTTAGATTTAGAGAGTAAGTGGAAAAAAATTTTTATACGAAGAATTATAAAAAATTTTACTGCTTTAAAATTTTGCTTTTAAAAACATATATGTATATTTAACATTAAAAGCTAGAAATAAGTAACAAATCTAAAAACTACATCAATTCTAAGGTAAATATAATAAATATTTTTAATGTAAAATGCATGCGATTTTCGTTCATCTTTTTCTGATTCGCAAACATTTTACATAAAAAAATTGTTGAACAAATTTTTTAAGAATTGTTTTCTATTAATCTCTTTTATTTAGCTGATAATTGTTAATGCCTAGCAGGAAGTTAGAAAATATTTTTTTCTTTTTCTCCGTTTATTGCGGATGATTTTATATATAACCCTTGATCCGAAGGGAAATAATAATGTTATTATATATAATAAAATATAATATACAAATATAACAAAAATTTTTATTATATTTCAGTTTTAATAATTAATTTTTTTAATCTTGGCTGAAGTCTGATTTTTTGTATTTTTTAATATTAGTTGAATATTGGGTTCTCTACACTCCCAGCCTTGGTCCAATATTGGCTAAAATAATGGACCAAGATTGCCAAAAGTGCTCCCAATATTGGACTAATATTCAGCCAATTATGTGATTTTCCTACTG